CCCCCCAACATTCCTCTATACGTATAATCAAATTGGAGTGTCTCTTTGTAATATCAAAAGAAAAGTTCCAGATTTCGGGAAGATGATGAATTTGCGTTGCTGATAACGAAAATCGCAATTTAAAAATCTTTGTCTGTCAGTGTCAAGCCGCGTTTGTTCCGGTTAATCTTCGAAACGGCTAGGTCGATTTCGTCCGGACTTTCACTGGAAGGTAGCTGACATGGACGGGCATATTATAGGCTGCTTTTTTAATTCCGCTCTGTCAAAATGGCTACCGGACCGCTATCTGGAACGGGGGGACCGATTTGGACGGGACTTTGACTGAAAGATGCACGCGTGAATGTGATAGATGACTTTTTTTTTAAATTGGGGCTAACGAAGTTTGCGTTCGACAGCTCTTTTTGTTATATGTATAGATAGCTAGATATAAATAAATAAAAAAATATGTTGGAAAGTCTTATACAGTTAAATGTTTAGTTTCCGTGTGTCGGTGCAGGGCTGACGGACATAGCGACGGCGCTGCGGCGGTCGGTGAGCGTGCGGCGCGTGGAGTTCCCCGGCTGCGACGCGGCGGCGGGCGGCCGCGGCGCCAGCGAGCGCGTCGCCACGCTCTGGCGTGATCTACACGAGCGGTACTTGCACTGGCCCTTGTCCCTACTGCTCCATACATTTCTATCAGCCGTCATATCCGAATCCACTTCCTTATGCATATCCTCTTTCACACAATCCATCCATACTTACTCCGGTCTTCCTGTACCTTTGTAATCGTCCACATAACAAATACATTATTTCTTACTGAATGCGCGGTTCGCACTTGTCCAGTACAGTTCACTAGTGCTCATTAACTGGACTGCCAATAAACTAGCACAGTGCGAACACTAACACGAGTATGTTTATCTTTACCGTAACAAAATTGCAAAACACACTCATATTTGGGATAGAACCTGGACGTATAGAGAAACTTCGGTGATATCGAGCGCTTAACAAATGCGTGTTTTGGTTCGTTCACTAGCCGTTGCTCGCGACTTCCGTGTGGCAATAAAAAATACAGCCTATGTTACTGTATAATAACATATCACAGTAGTTTTTGAGTTATTATGGTAAATACAAAAATATAAATCTTTCCTTTTGTACTAGATTGTATAAGAAAAATAAAGATTGATCATAATAATAATAATAATAAACATTGAATCATATCAAAAACACATTGAAACATAATAAATACTTAAATAGAAAGGAGACAAAAATAAATTTGAAGTATGAGTAATAAGCATGTGTATGTGTATGTGTGCAGTTTGTCGAGCAACAGCACGTCTGGCGTGTGCGAGCGGCTGCGCGCGCTGGCGCTGGAGCGCGCGTGGGCGGGCGGCGCGGCGGCGGCGCTGGCGGCGCAGGCGGCGGCCGCGCTGCCCCCCGCGCCGCTGCCCGCCGCGCTGCAGCGCGCCGCCGCCGCCGCGCACCTCCTGCTGCACCAGTACCTGCAGGTAGCGCTGCACACGACTATACCGCATCACATACAGTCTGTTCAATCGCATCACATTATAAAAACTCTATTTTATTAACATTTCTGATTCTATTCTAAATGTCAAATTCAAATGCACAAGTATAGATGTAATGTCGGTCACTCAAATACTATCATGGCACCCGTCCACGGACGAAGCCGAGATGGTGTTTACGACTTCATTCGCGTGGAATTTTTTTTTAAAAAAAAAAACAAAACTATGTAGCTTATGTGTTCTTTATAACTATCCTCTACATATGTGCCAAATTTGCATCTAGATCCGTTCAGCCGTTTAGGCTTCAAATTGTAACAAACATCCATCCATCTAAACTTTTGCATTTATAATATTAGTAAGATAGACCAACTATTACATATACCAACTACTTCGATAATGGTGATTTGAATGTGAAACCAAACAGTATTGTTGAAAGACAATCGGTTAATGCACAAGAATATAGCATTTTTTGTGTACATTCAGTTCACTTGTTTCCTGTACGTGCACGCAGCGCTGCAGCGAGGTGTTCGCGGCGATGGGCGGGGCGGGGCAGGGAGCGGGGGCGGCGGGCGCGGGCGAGCTGGTGACGCTGCAGGCGGTGCGTGACGCGATGGCACCCTGCAACACCACGCTGCAGGAATTACTCAAGTAAGTGTACATCAGAGATTAAAAAATATAGAGTAGGCATGGACACTTCCCTTGAAATATTTTCACATAATTGCCAATAGGTGTCATTAAATAATATTTTAATTAATGACACTGTTTAGTTGATTTAATTACAAAAAATGGAGATTATAATAATTTTCTAAAATATTTTATATGTTGTCAATACAAGTACAAAAGATGGCACTAATTTGACAACTGATCCTTTCAGAGAAAGTACCCGTGAAGAAATGTTGTTCACTATGCCTAGTCTGTATATTCCTTAAATGTCTTTGTAAATATACATATATACACATATGGGCACAGTAAATAAAAATAATCACATCGTTGAAAGTTTATTTTTTAAATATGTCTACTTTCGGGCTGAGTTACCAAGTGGACTTAATTTTAATTTAACAAAAGACGAGAATACATATTCCAGTGAAATAGAGTATTAGGTACTAAGACATTATCATGTGCTACTGACGAGTATTACATTTGCGAGTAAAATTCACAAGACCATACAAGAACATTTAGTATGCGTGTCGTTGAGTTGGCACGTCGGACAGAAGTGTGTCTTTGGTGTCGACGTGCCAACTTAAAAGTTATACAAAAACTATACTCAACTGAAATTTATCTCATTCATGTCGAATATATTAAATTGACACCTATATTGTAAATACGCGATAGTAGTTTAAGTAATGTTTTTATACATATTTCAGTGAGGCGGTAGAGAGTCTCGCGCTGTCGGCGTGCGAGAGCGTGGACAACGCGGACTCGGAGCCCGCGCCCAGCGCAGAGCCCGACATGCCGGACCTGCTCACACCCATCTCACATTCGGGCGTGAGTATACAACTGTACAATAAATAATCTGTGCTCTTATATGGTTGGTTACCGTTTCTACTAATCTTACTTTTTACTAATATGTAATGTTTCTATGAGTTTGTAGCCTAACTCTTACGTTACTCTCAAACAGATACGTCTTAATGAAATTTGGCATAGACGTAGAGAGTCTAGAAGAACATATAGGTTACTCACTTTTGTTTTTCTCTTATTCCACGCGGGCGGAGACGCACGCGAAAGCTTACTAGCTTTATATACTTATCATAAAAGATTTTTTATTTAACTTTTTACCACTAAAAATGTAACTGAAACGACCTATATTGAAGATCTCTCGTATTATCATATTTAATGTTATTTCTATTTGTCATGCAAAGAAATTGGATTACTTAAACTTGGTAAGCAATACATATTTATTTAATACTTCTACTCCTTTATTAAACAAAAGAATTTTAAATAATATATAGACCAGGCATAGTGAACAACATTTTTTACCAGTATTTTCTCTGAATACACATAATAAAAGTGTAAATAAAGCTGCAGCTTTTGTTATCAAATAAACTAAACAGTGTTGCAGAACAAAATATAAACATATAAACATATAAAATTAATTTAATGACACGTATTGTCAATTAATTTTTAGTTTGTATAAAAAGTTACAATTAATTAATTGCCTGTAAGAGATTGCTCATATCAATGAGGCCGCCCTTGTGTAAATATTGTAGTATATAGTATATTTGTGCAAAACGTATTAATTGAATACAAAACAAGTATTGACATGTGGTTTTGAAGAGGATTATATGTAAAATGTTTCAAGTGTCTTATGCCTTCTCTATATATTTGATGATGTCTATGTTGCAAACGCATCAGCTATTGCAGAGGTTATAGGCAGCGATCGCTTCGCTAGTTAGGCAGATTCAAGTGGCCCCTTGCTCGCCACCTTATATAATAAAAAACAAAGTGAAAGGGATGGCAATATACTATGTGTGTGTGTGTGTGTGTGTGCGCGCGCAGGCGACGCCGCTGGGGCTGCGGCGGCGCGAGCGCGTGCGGCGCGTGCGGCCCAAGTCGGTGGCGGAGCAGCAGTGCAGCAGCAACGAGATGCTGTCGCTGCCGCCGCTGCACGCGGAGGCCGCGGACGCGCTCGCAGACCTGCCCGCGCACACGCTCAGGCATCTCGTTAAAGGTATTAAAAAAAAAACATTTTCCGAACTTTTTTATGTTCAATTTTATATTTAAGAAATATATATGTATAACCAGCTGCTATAACTGAACTGAAAGCAACTGAAGATCTTCATTTGAGAAAACTTAAAATAAATCAAATACTATTGTATCATCACCATTTCATTATTTTTATTCGATCATATTTTTTTATTTGAATACGATGAGTGAGTACGCAACAAACTTACACACATACACACACGTATACCCATGCACACAAATACTATTTCACAGTAAGTACCTGTTACCTAGACTAAAATAAGGCATTGTTTCCGGTAATATAGGTTTCGACCTATCACAGGAGACAGGGATCCCAAAAATTGTGCAATTTTGTGTAATAATATAGCTTTTTTAATTTTCATTAAAATTAATATAAAACGCTTATTAATTTCAGGTCGTCCACGCAGAGCGAAAACCCGCGCCCCCTCTCGACCTATCACCGATCAATCACAAGACATCGATGAAGGTACAGCTTATTATTATCTAATACCGTCTTTAGATTAGAGGCCTAATTTTAGTATGTTTCTCTTCCCATACGCACATTATAAGGTTGGGAAGGTAAAGTGGATTTGACGGCCAAAAAGACGCATTGGAAGGGGATTATCCTCTTTATGTGCGTATTGATTGTAGACAAACCATCCCCAATTGCGGATGTCTATGTCGCTTCGCTTTTCAGCGAATTCAGGTGGTCACTTGCTCGTTTGTCACCTTATCATATAAAAAAGATTGCCGTTTTCTCATTAAGGATTATTATTGCGGCATACTTACTACGGAAGAAAATTAGTACTGCTCTGTAGGATTGGCGCAACACAAAATTATCGGTATAAAAATCCCTTCCCTATCTGACAGCTGACCAACGTGATGAGATGTATTGTAATAGCACGCCATTCTCGCGGGATTATTAGCTCTGAGTGTTAAAATTAATTACGATAGTAACAACTGTATAAATTGTTAAAAATGCTGGGTCAGAGGGGTACGATGTAATTAGTTTACATGATAACATTGGTATTTAGTTGTCATGTGTGTTATGTTTGCTTGGTCAGGTCTGGAGGAGTTCTGGCGCACGTGCCGCACGCCGCCGGGCAGCGAGGAGGCGTCGCTGTCGGCGCGCACGCCGCTCACCTCGCGCTCGCTGCACTCGCTCTCCTCGCTCGCCTCGCCCTCGCCCTCGCGCGCCTCGCCCTCGCCCTCGCCCTCGCCCGCCTCGCCCTCGCACTCGCGCGCGCGCCACTCGCCCACGCTGCAGCGCGACGACACCATGTACGTCACCACTCACACTGTGTCACCACAACACTACCTTTCACACGACGGCAACCATGTAAAAAACAAAAGATAGTAAGCCTATGGATTCTTTGCCAAACATCGAGATCCGTTTAGCAGTTAAGGCTACAATCCCTAACAAATAGCCATCTAAATTTACGCATTTATAATATTAGTAATAATTAAGATTAGCAAAACGTTAGTGTTACAAACCAATACACATTTTTTTTTGTTGTGTTGTTTTTAGTGTTATTCCATACATAGTTTTGTGATATATTCTTATGTTGTATTGAAAATGTACAGTTATAAATGTACCCTTCAACAACACTCTTATATAGTTGGATTTACTTATTTGTATTGTTGAAGAATTATGTCAAAATTTTAAACTGCGTAATTTACGTAACTGAAAATGTTCCAGGTATAGCGTGACGTCAGGAGAGAGCACACCAGTATTATTGGAATGTGGTAAGTGATATACAAACTTATACACATTATCATGAACCCGACTTTGTCTTGAATTGCGTATTAAGAAAAACTTGTACGAACAGAAGTATCACGCTGCAAATCGTCAGACAACGTGGGCACGCGCGCGCCCACCACACCGCCGCCATCTCGCTCCTCCGACAACGTTAACACCATGGGTGAGATCATCACTGCCACCTTGCCATCACCATTGTCATCATCACCTTGCCATCATCACTATTGTCATCACTGCCTTGCCATTCTCACTGTTCACTTGCTACAATACTGTCATGCAACATTCCATTGGTACAAGTGGTTACATGTTATCTTATATGTATTATTAACACTCTGATTACATACAGCCAATACTTTTAAAATCATTTATTGTAAAATCTATATCTATACTAATATAATGAGGAACAATTTGTATTTTTGGATTTTTGTATGTGTTGAAATTCGTTTTAAAAATGCTATACGCCGGCTTCGAAAGCACAAACGACGGCTTGTGTCAATTGTGAAGCTAAGCGCTACTGTGATGTATTACTAAAGCAATAACAGTTAACTAAGGCTCTTATTTTAAGATTTATCGTACTAAGTCCATAAGGGAGACCACTTAAGGACTTTGGTACTCTAGTACTACAAAAAGATTAGTAAAGAAATATGAATTAGCAACACATTATGTAACTAAGTAATGAGTAAGATTGATTTGCATTCACCTAGTATAGACTAACATTTAAGATACTCTATATTTTTCATAAAAGTAACAAAACATTTCACTATACTTTTCTCTTGGGCTAATTTTATTTGGAGTTGCAATTCATCATAAGTGTTTAATGGATATGGAATAATAAAGATTAATGTAAGGTGCTGTTCTTGCTTTGTGTGAGGTATACGCGTTGTGACGAATGCATTATGACGTGGCGCGTTGTGACGTAGAGCGTTGTGACGTAGCGCGTTGTGACGTAAGCGCGTTGTGACGTAGCGCATTGTGACGTGGCGCGGTGTGACGTAATGCGTTGTGGGCGTATGTAGGCAACGGGTGCGTGCGCGGTGCGGGCAAGGCGCGGCCGTGGTCCGTGGCCGGCGTGAACGCGGAGCCCGCCGCCGCCTGCACCACAGGTACGACAGCTTCACACGCTTGCTAACACAAACACTGCCAATACACCTGGCTACACAATATAGCCATAACATTATGCGCGGTTCACACTATGATAGTTGCGATGGCCAGCCATCGTTTGTATGGACTCGCTAGTGCTAGACGTTCACACTGTTCCAGTCGATCGCCAGTCCAGTTGAGCGCTACTGGTCAAATGTGAACCGCGCATTATCCTGACAGTTTATATAAACATAAACAACAAATAAATAATAATAAATGAAACTTATATAATTATGTCAAAGTTATGTTAAACCTCTTATTACACTACTTTTCATATAAAAATCGAAATATGACAATATCGTTTTGATAAATGTCATGTTAGTTAAAACATCACGAGTAACTAAATTAAATAATTAGGCACGTTTTTATGTGCTTTTTTTGCAAAGATAGTTAGACATCACTATTCTTTTGATAACTCTGAACCAATCGAATTTTTCGTTGTTCACATTAAAGCGACCTGAACTTATATACTGGACATTGAAGTCACAGTGGCCGGCCTCGTTATAATCCCATGGAAGAGATTTTGTGATTTTTTTAGCTTTCGTTTTTTATTGTCGTTTTTTTTATCTTATAACTAGAAGAAACGTTTAAAAAATACATGCATGTTCTCTATTACATAATAAGTGTAGCAATAACAATTTTCTTTTATTAACACATTTATTTCAAACCTTCGTATAATTTTACTTCTATTTACAAATCAAGTAACACTATGCATGAAGATTCATGTTACGATGCCGCACTTGTGCCTTTGGCACGTTAACTCATTAATATTAACCGTTTAAAAAAACAAGCACTATGCACTGGCACTTCGAATTAGGACTCAATAGTGTAATAATTTATTAAAATCATAAAATTGAAATCCCAGTCTAGTTATTTAAAGACAATGCTTGACATTTCGTGTTGCAACATTATTGTTGAATTTTATATCTATAAAGAACGAGGTATCGGAAGAACGAAATGAAGAATTTCATTCTCATTCATTTGAAAACAAAACAAGCATAATCGAAGATTTTGAACTGACTTAAGGTTTTAATATGTACACAACAATTGAATCCTTTGTAACTAATCCATTCTCTGTTTGTGTCATAAATGTGTATAGTGCGTATGTGTGGAGGGTTGTTGTGACGGTGGTGGTGGTCGACAGAGGGCGTGGAGGCGTGCGTGGGCGGCAGCATCGTGGGCATCACCCCCGGCGCCGCACTAACCAGTAACCAACTTTCTGACGCTATTCTGTACTGACCGCGCTCTGTATGTGCCGTGTCGTGCCGTGTCGTGCCGCCTGCAATACGGTAAAATGCTCGCATGACGCTTTACATGTCTAGATACTTCCAGAATGTTCCAGTTTGAAATTCAAAAGTGAAGACATTTTCGATCTCACCTGACCCTGACTTTAATAGAGAACCTTTCAGTGTACTTTAACAGTCTGTGCATAACTTGAACGGGTTTTTACAATATTAGCGAGGGATTTTTATTTTTTTGACACTTGACTGAACACTGAAAAAACTTGAATATGTGATGTTAAGAAGCTCCAATTTAAGATATAACAGCTTCACTTTTGGACTTCTGATTAGATATCTGGCGGACTTTTGGTTGTTACATTTTACTTTCTATTGAGTCATTTTCGAGTATTTCAGAATAAAAAAATAATATCAGTTACCAAGACCATGTTCCAAGCATGCTATTGCACGGGATAAAACAATCATTCGTAAGTAACTAATGTGTAAAATGCATGATTTATATTGTACATCTACAATACGGTACCAAATCTTAATGTTACGGTTTAATTTTCGCTATAGAAAATGTACCTCTAGGCTAGCTTCTAAGAGCAAATTTGATTGTTAATAAAAATAGTTCTTAGTTTTCTTTGTATTTTTATACAACTTTTAATTGACCTTTACCTTACGAGCTGTAACACAAGTCACTATAGTCAATGCTAGTTAGTAATTAACTTGTTACCGTGGTTTCCAACTGCGTAAACATACAAAGAATATATTGTCAATATCCAGTGGAAACCCACGAGTGTAGATTTAAATATTAATTAACTACAGAACTGCATGAATGATGTAGCTAGTTTTAATATAGTAAATACCGTAACTTTTATTGAATGTATCTTTGTTAATTTTATATAATGGCTTAAAGTAGTAACTTGATATTATATTTGGTAAGGATTTTGTACTTGACTAATATATATTTTTGTAACAACAGGCTCAATGTTACGAGATCATCCATTGACACCAGGTTAGATTTTTTTGAACATGTATTTCATATTTTTAAACTTTCATTTACTAATTTAATCAGTTGCACTTTTTACATCATTGGTTCGTCCTGCACATTACTTAAACTATATTTATAACATCACCTTAATAAATTTATTTAACAGCAATATTATGTATCTTTAGCTTTTATATTTATTCCCCATTATTATTAAATAGACAATAGAAACTGTTACATTGATTTTTTAATTCCAGAAGGCGCGGAGTCGTAGACGTCAGCCAGTCGGATATATCCAAGTGATAAGATGAGCAGGGTTTTATGTCCAAGTGTAAACGATTATGTGGATTGTATTCACCGAAGCTCACAATTGTGCCAGTTAGAATTGTAGACGATTTAGACTAGTTGGCTCACACAGCTGAATACTTTGACCAGGGCTGACTCTGACAAGTGTCTAGCCATCGGTAATAAGAGTGGCAACCCTAAGCCAGATTCATTTTAAGTCGTCCCCGCATGAAATATCTTTTATTCCCCTAATGAGGAATAATAAGAATTTAAAGATCTCGCTCTTACTTGATAGAAGGCAACAGATTTATTAAACGAAGTCAGGTATTAGATTCTCGAAAGTTCTATTGGAAAATAGTTTTTTGACAATCCAAGTCTTCAATGTTACAATGTTTTATTCGTAATATATGATCTATCAATTATCTTGGATAGCAATAAAGATGTATTCGGTTTTTACATTTTTAATATTGAAGCTATTGCGTCGATAAACAGTAAATGGTACTAATTTTAAATTAATTAATGGTTTTTATATGAGTCATAATAAAGTCATAAATTTAATAGTTTGTAAGTTTGAAACATTTATATAATCATTTCATGTTTACTGTGATTCATTTAGTATTAGATGCATTTTTTATTTAGTGACCGTGGTTTTGTAACGAAATCATTATTTATATAATTTAATTGCTTGTTTTTATGTACACGGTGTAAATCATATTTATTTGGATTTTGTGTAATTGTTAATTTTCATAATCAATTTTTATATTTAATCTTAGTTATTACTATTACATTATGTATGAACTAATCCATAGCGAATTTTATGAAAGACATTTCTTGCGAACTGTGATTCACAGCATATTTTCTATTTCAAATTATAGACCTTTTGTTATATCTAGTGTTAAAGTAGTTCAGAATAATTACATCACATTTAGAGGATTATTAAACTTTATTGACATCTTTTTTAATGTAAAATTCATAAATGTTACGTCTAAAATCTTTTCTGTCAATGGTGCTTTAAAGTTTTCATGCATGTCTAAAAAACATTTTTATGTTTGCGAATTTATAACTTGGTTAAACCCTCAAATAACAGTGACTTTTTAAAAAATCCTCTAGTAATTAGTTTTTTTAATATAGTAACCTAGTCATATGGCCTATGATTGCGGGTTAACTGCTGAAACTAGATATATAGTCATCTTTTTACAATGGAAATAAAAGGGATGACTATGTTACAGTAGAAACCCCCACAGTAACAATACGCACAAAATTATTTGAACTCCAAACGTGATACGTTGTTCATCAGATCTAAAAACTATTGTAGAATTCTTCAAATTCATACATTCCTTGATATGTACAGTGTTCGAGTGTGGATTGTGAAACAGGTGTGATTTTAATGTAGTTCAAATAAAATGGATTTTAGTGTAGAGTAGTACCGAGGTGGTGTAATGTTCAATTTTAATAAATGGATATGGTAAGATAGACCGCTCTCCCCATAACTTTAAGTGTTCATTAGAATAACTATTTGTAATAACAATTACTCTTCCCTCGTTTGAGTATAAGGCTGTATTGTAATGGATTTTTTCTTGTAACATGTAGTTATATAGTGTACTATTGCTAAATTATTTCATAGTATTTTTATATTCATTCCAGTTTGTGTTGGCTTTTTGGTACCAGACTGATTTTAGGTACATTTATTTTATGGTGCAATTTATTTTAGAGCGTTGTGATAATCTGTTTTAAGGTACATTATACTATACAGCAATTTATTTGGTGTTTTATTTATTTAAAAACCTAGATGTAAAATTATTACAGATAAATAAAAACACAGCATTGATTTGTATGTATTTAATTATATTAAAACTATATTTACATCCTTAAAACGCACGACAATTGCACTCTAACAACCGTTCTATTGCGCAAACGAATGAGGAAATGTTTTAATATTGTTTAACATAGTGTTTTATTTAATTAAAAAAAAAAACAATTTAAACCTTCACATTTAATAATATGTACACAATATCTATTTATTTCTATTGAAAATCAGTCTATATGTTGGTTTGCTATTTATTGGAAGTGGATTTGAGTATTCTTCAGAATTAGATATTTCAGTCAAAAATTTTAAACTGAAATAGTTTAAAAAAAGCGAATTACTAATCAACCACATTATTAAATTTTATAATTGTAAAAATGCATAATAACTTAGACCGTAAATAACAAATTTTTAGCCTTACACTGTTAGATTGTATTTTCGTGGAAAAATTAAAATAAATTGTGCAATACAAATAAGATTTTTTTGATTTTAAATACAAGTATGATTTTAAATATGAAAATATATATAGTGATGCAACAAATCAGACTTACATTTGTAAGAAGCCAAATTTAAATAATGGACACCATTATATACATATGTATATGCAACAAAAGTGGTCACTCTCACATCAGAATATAAAAATAAAACTATTATACTACACTTAATCTAGTATTCATGTTAAGAAATTGTAATCACAATTTTAATTAATTAACCGATCTTAAATATATTAGAGACACATTTTTATTACTATTATTAAATCGTAGAAATATGAAAATTTTGAATATATTTTAAGGTAAAAATAAAACATTCCATTCGCGTGTTGCAGAAAAATTGTCAAAAATAATATTTTCTTTTTTAACTTCATTCATTAACACAATGTACAGTCAGCTGCATAAATATATAGAAAACTTTACAAAATTATAAAGGGCTTTGTGTTCATGTTGGTATGCATGTATTTGTTAATATTATGCATTTGCGCGGCATACGCAAGGATACATGCGTGCATACACCTATTGATAATGAAGATGTATAAAGCTTTTAAAACATTGTAAATGAATACTTGTTTATGCAGCTGACTGTACTGTAAAAACATGAACAATATCATTAACAGATTAAACTAATCAATATAAAGAAGTTGTTTGAACAAATAATATTGATAAAAACTTGCAATTTCACAGAATATAGTTGGTATGTAAAGGGTTGCAAAAGTAGGCGCATCATTTCGCGCGGTTTCCTCTACATTACACTAAGTGAAATAAAGGAGGAAATAATCTATTCAAAAATTTTAATCCGACACTAACACCAGAAAATTACTGAGATCAAATAAATATGATCTAACATTATTTTTCTTGCATACAAACTCATCAATAACATACATAATAGGTATGTAATTTGTGTTCAATAAATACATTAAGAATCAAAAGTTTTTACTGAACTTTTCTTAGTTTAGTACAAATAAGTAGGAAAACAATAATTCTAGTCTCACCGAGCACATCGGAGCATATCTGGGAACCGACTGCAGTTTAACAAGAGCATTACACTTGCACTGTCACATAACACGATTTTCATATTGTATGTCTCCGATGACGTCACACGCCCGCAGGCACTGCTCTCCGCAGCGACTTACCGCCCGCATCAGGCGCTTGGAGTCGCTTCCTTCTTTGATTCCTCCGAATTACTAACATTCTTCACATCATCTTTTGAATCCTCATCTATGGACACAATTCAAAGTTAGAATAATACAATTTCACAACAGAATTTATACCATTATAATATCTTTATCATTAACATTGCTATTAGTTGTGTACAATGGTTTGCCTACGACACCCCTTCCCAAAAAAGACCACGTCCCGCGCTCGTTATAAAAAAGAGATAGCCTCGCTTCTTGGACCCTAAGTCATAAAACTAAAAAAAATAAGTAGCCTGTGTTCTTCTTTCTAGCCTTTGTGTACATCTAGGCCCAATTCATTGAGATTCGTTCAACAGATTAGACAGTAAGCTCTAACAAAAGTCCATTTTTATTTTTTTCATAAATAAACCAGCTCTTGACCAAGATTCCATCAAAATTGAACTATGTGCTAGCTAGCTCAGTGAGTGCCGATTGACTTTACTCTTGAAGGCAAGCACATTATCTATTCTAATATTATAAAGAGGAAACATTTGTATTTCTGGATTTTTGTATGTATTCGATTCAGTTAAAAACTACTGTTAGAAGCGTAGGATCTATGAGCAACAGGCTAAATTTATTATTTTTCACTTTGACGCGGACGAAGTCGCGAGCGACAGCTAGCAAGTAGTAACAGTATCAGTCTCACTGTTGGCGTCGTCCTTGTGGTGCGCGAGGTCCTTGTCGAGCCGCGGGCGCTTGCGCTGCGGCGCGCGGTACGAGCGGTTGTCGCGCCGCCCGCCCTCGCCCTCGTCCTCAGACTCCGACAGCTCCCCGTCGCCCGTTATACGCTTGTCCTGCAATACACGATTATTATACATCTTTTGAACACCTTTTCCTTTTGGCCGAGAAGAGATTTTCTTTATATTTTATTAATTAGTTTTGCAAATTATCATTACTTATTAATTACTTTTCAAATATCTTGACAGATAAGTTATTTGAACCCTGCACAGTGCGGCTATCGTCCGTTTCCCTTTACGCTACATATAACATTGTGTTGTACGAAGCGACCTCTATGATGTACCGAGCCGCCGAGATATTTGTTGTTGATGTAAGGGCGGGCGCACACCTTTGACTAAACAATCGCACAACAGTTGTGCGATTTTCAATTGTTTCGCAGCCCATTCAACTATCTAGTTGTAAAATAAGCACATTTTTTACTATTTTTTTTTAAATCATGATCATATCATATTTATATCAATTTTGAAACAATTTTCGTTAATTAAATACCTTTTCACTTTGTGGTAGCCGCTCATCTTTGTCTATTTTGTCTTCATCTTCAGATTCGTCATTGACTGCATCTTCTGGAATGGCTTGTACCTAAAAACAAAATTAAATACTTTGCTATAAAAATCAGACTAATTCCAATATAATTAACCAAATCAATTTACAAGTAATTACTCGCGACTTCGCCCGCGTGAACTTTTTAAATGTGCAAGAACTTTTTAAATATTTTTAAGTTCTTTCAACACATACAAAAAGTCAAAATACAAATCTTTCCTCTTTATAATATTAGTATAGATGTAGCTTGTTAACATTTTACCTGGACTCCAGGCGCATGAGGCAGCATACGGAGGTTCTCAAACAGCCTGTTCTTGATCTTTTCTAAATATTCAGGTGTGTTCTGATTGGACATGTTACTGGGAGATATGTGCAGTTTGAAGTCCGGACCAAAGTATTCAAAATAGTCATTGTATGGTAGCTCATTTGCGATTTCAACACCCAGTGCTACTGAGGTTTCATACGTCCAACAACGGGACACGTTGCGAATTGTGTACCTAAATACAAAAAACAAGTAAGTAAAACTAATTTTTTTTTATACATAAGATGGAACGAGCAAACGTCCACCTGAATTCGCCGAAATAGCGAAGCGATCATAGTCTTGTCTTGCCTACTTTTTATCAACAGAGAGGACGCCCAAATAGGTATTACCCCTTCCTTCAAGTACCTGCTTCTGTCAATTTCACTCCCTCTTGCCATCCTTTCTCCATAAGAAAAGGGTGGGAAGGTAAAGACTAAAATTAATATTTTTAACTTACCCTCCTCCACCAACAAGCAGGAATGGCAGACCAAATCTTTTCACCAATTCCACACAACGTCCATGTCCGCGCACAGTCAAGTTGAAACAACCCAATCTGTCACCTAATATTGAAAACATTCATAATGAGAGCTTATAGACTTAAATCAACTGTAAAATTAGACTACTGTAACATTTAAATAATGATGTTGGAAGTTTGGGTCCACCAATCAATCAAGCTATTGGACAAAAGAAATCCCATTGTTTCAATCATTTTAATATTGATTACTCAATCAAAAAACACAATAGTCCTTGTTTTCGCGACAGTAAACCTTTATAAAATACCTGTAAGAGAATCGGCTCCGCATTGCAGTACCACTGCACTGGGCTGGAAGGTCTCCATGACTTTAGAGATGATGGGCACAAAGATAGATTCATATGACTCGTCGTCCATGCCATCGCGCAGCGGAATATTCACTGCGTAGTACTTGCCCTTGCCCGCGCCTATGTCTCGCAAATCACCTAGCAACAAATTTCATTTTTTACTATTTTATGAGGTCAGTAAAAAAAATATTTCATTAATATTTTTTTAGAACACTATAGCTAAATCTAGCTATAATGTGCTAAAAGTACAAAAGTGAATTAAAATGGTTCTTATATTGTATTTATATAAATCAAAAGTGAGTGCCCATGTGTTTCTCCAGACTATCCTCTACATCTTTACCAAATTTCATCTAAATCCATTAAGGCTACAAACTCTAACAAACATCCATCTGTGCATCCATCTAAACTTCAGCATTTATAACATTACTATATAGAATGATAGTATGACAAAATTAGTAAGACTGTAAAAAATAGTTCTAGTATATTTGTATCAATAATATACAGACCTGTCCCAGGGAAATATTCTCCATATTTATGGAAGGAAACAGTCATGACCCGGTCGGTTGTGTAAAATGCCTCTTCCACTCCATCACCATGGTGTACATCAATGTCAATGTACAACACTCTCTGGTGATACTTCAGTAGCTCCAGAATGCCGAGGACAATGTCATTCACATAACAAAATCCTGACGCCTCAGATTTCTTAGCGTGATGCAATCCTCCACCCCAGTTAATGCAGATTTCAGATGCCTACAAATTGTAAATGTATAATATAGTATTGAATTAAAAGATGTATTTTACAGCCTAAGATTTATAGACAAGCTGTAGCCTACAACGTTAAAACTTAAAAAATAAACTCTATTTGTAGCATATGTTAAAGACTAAGTTATAGACAAATGTGACAAATTTTATCAATCATTGTGCTGTTCTCGATATATGTAAGAAACAACATTTGCATTTATAATTTTAGTGAGACAATAAAATTCTTCAGCTAGTTAATCATTACATATTTAGGTGCAAAATATGAGAAGTATTAATGTGATGAAAAATGCATATATTAAATGAAATTAGAAAAAACTTATAGGGGCTATAAACCAGATCATCAAATCTGATAAAATATATACCGAAATGCTTTCTCTACCTGTTTATTTAATTTTACAGCAGCGGCCACAGATCCTCCGGCTGATAGTTGACAAAATTCATACAGCCCATCAAACACAGGGCAATCTTCACCAACATTGACTAAAACAAACATACACAATAAAAACAGTTGAATACAAATTCATAAGTACACCGGAAACTTGAAATTAATAAAAAGTAAATTACTAAATAATTATTAATTTGTTCTAGATGAATAGTTTCTTTTTATAATAGTTTTTGGGATAAATAATGTAATGGATTTTTTTTTGCATTGGGCAAATTAAATCTTTTATTATCAATCTTGATTGTTATAGATCTGTACTATCCATTAAGCCAATGTTAGGCTGTCCCAATGAGAAACACCTTATATAACTCAAATAAAAGATAATAGAACTTAAGACTAATAATTATTAGAGTACAATAACTTACATCGCTGCATTTGTTTGTTGTATTCATTCATGTTGTCAGGTCTGATCGACCGAAGGAACCGAATGTAGTCATCCGAATGGAACTTGGTCATTTCATCAGCTGTGGCTTTGTGTGGACGCTGTATAAGTAAAATATTTAACTTAGTCTTAGCAGTAGCTAGCAAGTAGTAACTTGAATTGAAGTTTAATTACAATAATTTGAATACATACATAAATTTCCATTTTCCTATATAACCCATAATTAAGTAATAAATTATGTGTCATACGTATGCGGTGTGGTTTCATAGGATGTCCCTGTCCATAGTAATAATTTCCAATATCACCTAAAATGAAAAAAAAATCAGTATAAATTCTCATTTATAGTAAATTAAACTTCTTAAGCGAATGTTACTCAATTCATTTATTGGCTTGACACATTTCAGTCTGTATCTCTTCGAGTGAAAAGAGAACAGCTACTCACGGACCAATAGCAACGACGAGCGCTGTACAGACGCCATAAACTGACTTGAACAACAATCGCATAAAAAGAGTAATAAGAAAATGGATGCAAAAAACATGTATTGAAATATAACTGTATGTTTTAAATGAAGACTTCATTAAAACAATAAAAATAACTTACTACAAATGTATTAATTTGAATTAGCATTATATTTTATACTTACTGTCGTAGTAATAGCAAACCCTTTTCTTGCTATGGGGTTGCATAGCCATTGTAGAAGTGTTTAAATTTTTAAAATACTACAGTATTTATTGTGATTTCTAATATTACAACGATTTGATAAGTAAAGAAATACACTAAACTTTAACTCTTTCACTTATTTAGCGGTAGCGGCGGGCTCGAGGGAATCAAACGATGAATGAAAATGAGCGAGAACGAGAATGAACAAATTAACAATGAGTGAGTGAACTTTAGAACGAATGATTAACATAAACCAACAATGGTAACTTAGATATTTATAAATAGATAGGCGTTTTCTTGGAAATGACAGTTTTGCTTTGTTCCGACTTAAACGCGCCTTTTGATGTTAATGAAAGTTAAGTCTATCACCATAATCAGTTCGAAAACCTTTCAACGCAACCAACCGCAAACATTGCGCTGTGATAGCAAAAATAAAAAAAAAGACAGCGTACTATGATTTATATTCTGTCCATTTGGAGAGATCAGTGTCCATAAGTGTTGGTTGCTGTCAAGTTACACAGATAAATTATAAATCCAGTTGTTTCAACAAAAATACCATATTTATTTTTTTAAAGCAAACATACATTGTAAATTTACAATTACGAAATTAAATGAAATATTGTGCAATTTTGCAATAAATTAATATTGACAAAACTTTGAATGAATGATAATGAACTAAAAAAGGTCATTCAAAAATTAACGAGTCTATAATTTTACCAAGTTACGTTTGAAGTGAGTGGTGTCGCCACTGTCGAAAATATTGCAAGCCCATTGGTAGTCTCTTTGGCTATCGATGGACATTTCATTGTGACGGCGTAGTGCCAATTTTCGCCACCATTCTGATAACTTGGTCAGACAAGAACACCATTCACTAAATCGATCGCGTCTCCGTTCCATTCTCAAATTTTCTCTCTCTTGCAAAAGCAGTGGTCGAGGTGAGACGTATTTCTAAACCGGATTTATTTTATTGTGTTGTGGTATAGTGTTAATGGTTTATTTGAGTTAAAAGTCAATTAATTTCTGTATGTTTTATTGATGCGAGAAGCTAAATTACGACATTATGTTCTATTTAAATAACAAAATTGTATTACTTGCAGTGCCCTGCTTCAATCAACGAGTATAACATCTGAATTTATCAAGATCATCCTGAACAAAATTTCAACATAAGAAATGTAAGTTTTTCTAATACAATTAGCAGAATCAAGTTTAATTTGTATTTCCTTTGTTAATGTCGCGCAAATTTAGTATTTCAAGTTAAAAATCCTAGTTATAAAATGAACGACCGCCATTTTGAACAGCCTTCGAAGATTTCAAAAATGTCTGTAGTAGTACAGTACTTCTACATACATATAATCATTCACTGAAAATATCTTAAGAAATATGTAGTTAATTGATTAGTAACTAAGATAAATATTATATCTCCTTGTCCAGAATAATTTGTTTAAAGAGGATAAGCATTGCGCATGACATGACAGCGCAGCGTGCCCTGCGCAGTGTAACATTTTTAATGTATTGATTTTATTATTGGTCTTCACTTTAATACGTTGTTCTTATTAATATTCATTTTGTTTAATGCACATTTTACGTGTGTATTTTTTCTGTTGTATTCAATGAGGTACGGTAGTTTTAAGTCCGAAATATATACATTACCGGTGCAAATGAAGTCGTGGCTGTCGCCATCTTGTTACTATGTATTGATTACTGCTGCAATAGCAATACATCTATCCTAAGATTTGAAAGTAATGTAAAACTTATATGTTAATTTTTGTCATAGGTCAGGAAACTGGAGCAATAGTCGCGGCGGAAGCGGCGGTTCCAAATTTGGAAGTCATGGATCAAAGTTTGGTGGTGGCGGCGGCGGCGGTGGTAGCCGCTTTGGAAACTCTGGTGGTTATGGAGGAGGGAAGAAAGAATTTTCTGGTGGACAAAACATGCGACGCCCAAACTGGGATACTATGTCTTTACAACCATTTAATAAAAACTTCTACAACCCACCACCAGAAGTATTGAATAGATCAGCATATGAAGTTGAAGAATATAGAAACAAACATGAGATTACTGTGAGTGGATTGGATATACCTAATCCTATCCAGCACTTTGTAGAAGGAAACTTCCCAGACTATGTAATGCAAAATATTTCCAACATGGGATACAAGGAACCCACACCCATTCAAGCTCAAGGTTGGCCCATTGCCATGTCAGGGCACAACTTGGTTGGGATAGCTCAGACTGGTTCTGGCAAAACCTTAGCTTATATATTGCCTGCTATTGTGCACATCAACAACCAGCCCCCTATTAGGCGGGGAGATGGCCCAATAGCTTTGGTGTTGGCTCCAACAAGAGAACTGGCGCAACAAATTCAACAAGTTGCATGTGACTTTGGAAATGCTTCATATGTGCGCAACACGTGCGTATTTGGTGGCGCGCCTAAAAGGGAACAGGCTCGTGATTTAGAAAGAGGAGTAGAAATTGTAATTGCCACACCTGGCAGACTAATTGATTTCTTGGAAAAAGGAACTACAAATTTACAACGTTGTACATATCTTGTACTAGATGAAGCTGATCGTATGTTGGACATGGGTTTTGAACCCCAGATTCGTAAAATCATTGAGCAGATCCGACCTGACCGTCAAACTCTGATGTGGTCTGCCACATGGCCCAAAGAGGTTAAAAAGTTAGCCGAAGACTATTTAGGTGACTACTTGCAAATAAACATTGGATCTCTTCAATTATCTGCTAACCACAATATTCTACAAATTGTAGATGTTTGCCAAGAACATGAGAAGGAGAACAAGTATGTAAATTCCATTTTTATTTAATATTTTTATATTTAGTGATGATTTCTATATTGTATGATATTAGTTGATTAAAATAAACATAATCCTCTAAGAAGATCTGATTGAAAAAATATCAAAACCGTTTGAAAAATTATGTGAAGATTCTAAACATGCTTAACAATTTCAGGTTAAATGTTCTGCTTCAAGAAATAGGCCAGAGCCAAGAACCTGGTGCGAAAACAATTATATTTGTTGAAACAAAGAGAAAAGTAGAAAATATAACAAGAAATATCAGACGATTTGGCTGGCCAGCGGTCTGCATGCATGGAGACAAAACACAGCAAGAGAGGGACGATGTGCTCTATCAGTTCAAACAGGGTCGCGCCAGCATACTGGTAGCTACTGATGTTGCCGCCAGAGGACTTGGTAAGAATTGATTAATATTAAATATAAACGGATAAGTAAATGTTAGGTTACCATTATTTTAGTACTTATGTATTTATTAATATTGTTTGTTTATACTTTTCAGAGGCACTGGCGGAAAGTTATTGTGTTCTATCTGAGTACTCTCCCAAATTAGTGGATATGTCACTGCTGATTTGTAGATGACTTAGTGTGCAGTGGTTTAACTAGAGAATGCAATAACTCGTCATGTTATGGTGCCTCAAAAGTGCCTTTCACTATGATGGACCCACGGCCGGAAGCTTGATAGTATGTCCGTGAATACGGATACACTTGAGAGTATTGGAAAACCTGGTGATGCACTACATACTTTATAGATAGTTAAATAATCAAAGATTGAACTACTGGTGCATCGTTGAAAAACTTGACCACAGGTTGAGATGATCGGCAAGAGGTCAAGGGTTTTCTATTTCGGCCACAATGGAGATTGGAATGGGCAATCAAGTATATGTGAAAACAAATTGATTATAACGCCCTTACAAGACTCCAGGGTTTACTCAGTGAGAGGCAAATGTTTTTATTTGTTGTGTAACTCATTCATGTAAGTAATACTGCTATGAGTTACATTATGTATTTCAAAGTCTTTGTTTTTGTAATATATCAACTTTAGAAACAGGTATTAACTTAATTTGCTGAATTGCAGATGTGGATGGTATCAAATATGTTATAAACTTTGATTATCCCAACTCTTCGGAAGATTACATTCACCGGATAGGCAGAACAGGACGGTCAAAATCAAAAGGAACATCATATGCCTTCTTCACACCTTCAAATTCGCGTCAAGCTAAAGACCTTGTCAATGTGCTGCAAGAAGCAAATCAGGTAATTAAATTGATATTGTAAATGAATAAATATACTTCCTCATACCTTTGGCATGGGTACGTTTTTCAATAGCGTGACATGAATGCAAGTATGAGGTACATCAATACAACTTCATGCCTTCGGTGTCCATGCTGAACACATGCCTGGATCCCATCCTCAAAAGTTGTAACATTCTTACTCCTTTGAACAATAGCATAACTTGGTTATGCGTTTAAATTAAAAATGTGTTAATGCGTATGTTAATTTCAGACTATCAGCCCACAACTGCAGACAATGGCTGACCGCTGCGGCGGCGGCGGCGGCGGCGGCTGGAACAGAAGCCGGTACGGCGGAGGGCGCGGGGGCGGTGGCGGCGGCTCCTTCAGACGTGGAACTAATTTCGGCAGGAGCAACGGCACAGGAGGCGGTGGACACAAGCGATTTAATGAATACTAACTTATCTCTAATATTAAGTAGCAAATCCTCTTAGGACTATGAATGAATACACCGTGTAAATGTTCAAGATTGTAGATCATGACCCCCTCCCGTAGTTGAACCATTATTGTATTCCATAGATGTCTACATTTGATTACTTTCGCATTTACATTGTACCGACTAGGATTAACAATACATTGAGTAAATGAACATGTGTGTTTGACATTAAGTTATTTTTAGGCGGTATTATTTTTTCTGTGATATCTTAAAATGAGGATAAACTTGTGTCGCTGTCTCTTCATGCCCCAACCTTCAATTTGTAACTATTGAAGTGCGCCGGTCCCCATTGTTTGGGAGAAGTACCAAATATAATAACATCATTCCACTTTGTTCTTTGATCTGGTGAAAATTAATATAATAATAAATAATGATACTATACAAAACACCTTTTTATTCCGTTGAATCATTAACCTCTTGGCAGTCGAAGATAAGTATGGGAGACAAGCGACGAAAAGATTTTTGAGCCATTGTCTTCGATACAAGACCAAAAACGCTTTTGCAAAATCATGATATCGAACAAAATTTTATCATCCGACAGACTAAAAGTTGACGCTGACTTACAACTTTAATGGGCAGAGAAGAGGGGAAAAAAATGTACAGCTAGTGGATACAGGGGAGATCAGATAGTTACGGTCCACTTTGCAGATTGAGTAACAATTATTTGAAATTGTTTTTTGAAAAGTAAAATAGAAAGCATGTTTCTATTAAAGTTAAAGATTTTGTTTACATGAATATAAACATTTTAGATTGAGTTTTTTATCAAATCTAAAAATTAAACTTGGGCACAGTTTAGGTACACCTGAGACAGTTATGGACTACCTCTGAAGTACAGTGACGGTCCATCCTGATATGTCTATAATGTAAAATAATTGTTATTTGCCATTTGTCTTGCATATTTATGTAAAATCAAAAACTTATCAGTCATTTGATGATTTTAATGTAAACAATATCCAAAAACAATGTTAGCATTATCAAGGATATTAATTTTACGGATTTCTAAAATATAATGCAAATCAAAACATTCGTGTCAATTGTTAAAATATTTATTGTTTAAATCATACACATTTTTTAATAATTTAAAGATTGGCCATAACTGTATTTCCATACAAACTTTCAGACAGTAGTGGCCCACTAAATTTTAAGTCTTGAGAAAATAATTATCGTTGTAATATCCACATAGATATACTAGAACATCTATTCTGTTAAACAAATGCATAAAATGCACATATGAATATTCAAAATACTAAAAAAGCTCTTCATAACAAAAGTGATAAGAACTTAACTACAGTTACTTAGCTTTGCGACTGTTGCATTTGGATCTAGTCTTGGGCTTAATCGGACATCTGCAAGTGCGCACCGTACTAGTACAATTGGGAAAACGTACTAGTACACAATTTTAGTACCTTTAGTACTTCAGATTTGTGAAAACACAATACATGAATAGAATATAACAAAGGTTATATTTTACTTCACATCAAATTTTAAGCAGGGTCAAACATATGTTATTAGCGAAAATAAATTTAGTTATGAATAATTTTATCCACATTTGATTCTCATTATCGAAGGTGGATGCTTCAATCTGACAAAAAGGCGAACACCGATATCGTGTAGTGTACTAAAAGTACTAAATGTCCGATTAAGAGAAGCCGTTCGGTAACGTTACTTTTAGTACAGTGCCGAGTAACATTACTTTTTAGTACATCGTACGCGTACTACCCAAGACTATTTGGATCAGCCATGTGTCTTTAAATTTACATTTTCTATTGGTAATTTAGATGTTAAATATTAGCATGTTAGTTGTAGCATATGATTCAGGTGTTTACTTTCAATTAATTTTCGTAAGAGCTCCATAAAAAATTGTTTTTGTTTAAAGTGGACTGTAACTCCCCTCCTGGTCCGAATCCTATTGCCTTTTCCTCAGCGTCATCTTCGTTATTTTGTTATCCAATGGAAAATTTTTGGTAGAAAAAGTAAAACAATCCTGGTCACACTGTTAAAATAAAAGCCATAGATTAGTTAATAGAAAAAGCATAAGTGTCAAAGTTTGGAGCTGAGGACGAGGTTTTAGGTTATAATAATATGAAATATGGCCTTAAATAATTTACCCGTGATGTTTTTAAGGCGCAATGGGCTTAAATCGTGAGTAAATATGGAATTATTGCTTATATATTTTATATTGCTATAATTCATAATAGTAACATATATGTTATTTTAATTTCAGTTTGTACCAAAGTGCTAAAAATTTACAAAAACTTCAAAAAAACCAAGTATATGTGTTAAAAAATGAAGTAAAATTTTATTCAAACTTAAACGTCAAAAGTTTTCTAGGCACATTGCAAACTAGAGATATATTACACGAAAAAAAATATTATTCCGTAAAAACAGCCCAGCGAGATCTTGATTATTACAATGAGCATAACATAACTGTTATTGGAGATAATGTACCAAGCCCGTATCGTGACATCGACAACTGCGACTTCCCAGATTATATAAAAACGTATTTGAAAAAACAAGGACTTGTCAAGCCAACAATAATCCAATCACAGGGCTGGCCGGTAGCATTAAGTGGCAAAAATCTCGTTGGAATTGCACAAACTGGTACTGGGAAGACACTGGCTTACCTTTTGCCAGCTGCTGTGCACATCAAAGAAAAACAGGGTAGAAGAAGCAAAGGCCCAAGAGTGTTAGTTCTTGCACCCACAAGAGAACTGGCAAGACAAATAGAGGAGGTTGCTAAAGAGTTTGAAAGTTTGTTAAATGTCCGTTGCTTGTGTATACATGGTGGGGCAAGTAGAGGACCACAGGCAGCTGCACTGCAGGGGGGTGTGGATATTTTGATAGCCACACCTGGAAGATTAAATGATTTCATTAACAGTAAAACAACATCATTGACTCGATGTACCTATGTTGTTCTAGATGAGGCAGATAGAATGTTGGATATGGGCTTTGAACCACAGATTCGTGAAGCACTTGAAGAGGTGCCTCATGAAAGGCAGATTCTTATGTTTTCAGCAACTTGGCCTAAAGAAGTTGAACACTTAGCTAAAGATTATTTAGGAGAGTTTATACAGGTTAATGTCGGTTCCACTGAGCTATCGGCAAACCACAACATACAACAGAATTTTCATATTTGTGAACAAGAAGAGAAAATGGAAAAGTAAGTTAAACATCTTATATTGGCTTTAGATAACAATGTGTCTGTAGAACAATATATAATATTAAAGACAGTGTGTAGTCTTAATAATTTTTCTGCTTAAAATTAATGCTATTACATTATTTTGGAAAATTGAACCCAATGTATACTAAACAGTGTGTTCATTTTTATTATTCCAGATTCAAGGCAATCATGCACGATATTTCTAGCCAAGGTTTGGGTAAGGTTTTAGTATTTACTAATACTAAAAGATTTGTGGACACTTTGGCATTGACATTAAAGAGGAATGGTTGGCCAGCTGCTGGTATCCATGGTGACAAGACTCAGAATCAAAGAGATGCAATCATTAACAGGTTCCGCAATGGGAACACAAACATACTAGTTGCCACTGATGTTGCTGCAAGAGGTTTAGGTAAGTTACGTTCATTGGCCTAATAAAATAAACTGTTTTGACATTTCCAAACATTTTAAACTGAACATAGTAAAATCATACTAATGTTATAAATGGCAAAATATGGATAGATGGATGTTTGTTACTATGTATATCATAAACTGTTTTGAAATGAAATTTAACATAGATGAAAAAAAAATCTGGGAGAACACATGGCCTAATTTTTTCTTATTCTGCATAGATTAAGTCACAGGGATAGGTTAGTGTAGCATAATTAAAAAAAAACTTTAAATTGTTCTTAATTATATTTTCTTATTTGTTTTTCAGATGTTGATGGAGTAACACATGTAATTAACTATGATTTCCCGAATACCTCAGAAGACTATATTCATAGAATTGGTAGAACTGGCCGCTTGCAGAATAAAGGAGTTTCGCACACCCTCCTCACTGAAGATGACTCAAGGCATGCTAAAAGTTTGATCCCTGTACTTAGAGAAGCTAATCAGGTAAACATCATCTTGTTTTATTCTTATTGGACTGATATATCTTTTTTTTGTTTAACTCAGAATAAAAACAAGAATTATGTCATCATTGTAACAAATTCAGATGTGTCATCTAAGTTATATATATATATTTAAAAAAGAATCTGTTTTAAAGGTTGTTCCCCGTGAATTAGAGGATATGGCAAGAAGTCACAATATAACGAAACAGAAGGAATATCAAATGAAATATAATACAAAACGCAGTTATGGCTTTAACCCAAACAAGAGGAATAATTTCAGAAGTCGCAACAATTATAATCGATATGATCATTATTAATTATTATTAGTTGATTTATAGTTATTACAGTGGGCTGTGTAGTATTATGATTTTTTCCAGTGTTGTATTCATATATGTGAATAGTTTTTCCAAATAATTAAAGTACAACTAATGACATTATTACGTTTATTATTTTTAACAATAAAATGAAAACATACTAAAACCTGATAATAGTAGACTGATAATAGTCCAAGGAACATTAAAAAACCAGTTACTCCTCTCAGCTCATGGAAGTGTCTGAAAAAATCATTGTTTTTTATTTCGAGTGATGTATGACATTTTTTAAGGAAATAAAAAGGGAACATTTTTGCATAATCTATGGCTTAGACAGTAAGAGGTTGTTTCTATGGCAACATTATGACAGTTAAGACGTAAGCCGTGTTGTTGATTTAAATTTAAAAACACTTTATTATGAATATTCAAAAATGGCACTACCTGAGCTCGATACAAGATCTGTTTTAGATAATGTTGAGGAGAATTTTACACGAATCGGATTGGTAGGTGATTCACAACTATTTTAATAATTATAATTTGAATGCTACCTATTTATTTACACAAAGCAAAAAAAATTAGATACTCTAGAAGGACAAGCATAGTGTAGTTGCTTTTAAATAATAGCAAGATATTGAGATGAAGGCTTGTTTAGTAAATGTTATGTTCTTTGATAAAATCTCAAACGAATTCACTGTTGTGTTGAAAGAAAGGTTTAGTGTGTAGAATTTCAAAACATTCTTAGACGGTAATGAATTACTGCTTTGTAGATTTTTATACTGATTTCATGGTTTTATTCAGAAAACGTATGCAATTCGTATGATATACGCGGGAGAACACCTTTTAAAGAAGGAGGAAATAATACATATGTTTTCTAAGACAGTGGAAGACGTCAACTCAAGTTACTGTGACATTCACATTACTGGCTTGCTGTTGGTGTATGACAGTTTTTTTGTCCATGTTATTGAGGTTAGAGGATTATATTTTTTTATGTAATTCGTTACTAATTATATTTTTATTAAAATTAGGTGCCAAAATGTAAACTGTTTACCGAGATTGAAATTACCGATATTTAATATAGAATGTGCGAATTGATTGAATTTGATAAAAGCAAGTTGTACTAACAGGGTTCAGAAGACACAGTTCATCGTCAGATAAGATTTCTATTCAACCTTGAAACTCAAATGTCTGAACAAAAAGCTTTAATTGAAGCTGCGGAAGCGGCTGCTCAAGAAAAAACCGTGGAAGGAAATGCGGAGAAAGAATACAAGATATTTAGACGTTTAAAGATGATAATGGTTTATCATTCTATGCAAACTGTAAGTTAACGGTAAATTTAGTTGAGTATCAGGTTATTGTATACTAGCTGTTCCCGTGTATCTTCATCAGCTTGAAATTATAAAAACTTTATTTTATTGTTTACATTTGTCAAATTCTCAATTCCAAATGTCAAAATTACCGTTACCATAACAACCTAGCTTCCTTAATGTTGGCAGCTTGTAGTTTATGGACCCTTTCCCACATGTTTTTTTCCAATTTATTTACCCCCGTTTAATAGCGTGAAAACATATAGCCTAAGTGTACGGCTTTTTATTAAAGAAAGTCTTATTCAAAAATATGCTGTGATTGCGGACATCCACCACGAATTTTATTAAACTTTATTATATTAGTGAAGAAGTATAGATGTACAGTTGGTCAGTATTAACGTTATATGTTCTCAGCTTATGTTTAGCGGTTGGCGCGCTTTAACCGCTCGACCGCCGTCGCTGGTCGGCAACTTGGACGTATATGGTCCGATAGCTGCACACATGGAGCAATTACGGATATTTCTCGATAAAATGAGTAAACTGTGCGATTTAGCGAAGCACGAACATCATGTGAGAAATATTTTTAAATGTGATTTTCCCAAGTGTTTTCGATTCGTTCAAATTATTTCTATTTGTAGTTATCCTTCGAAGGTCTGAGTGCTGTGGATCCAAAGATAGAGGCTTTACCAGAAGTGACACTTTTGGATTTTTTGCTGGAATCAAGGTATATCCTTGATCTGCGTCGAACCGCACATATGCATAGGAGAGTTGATGACTACGTTTTCTATTTCGGTAAATTGTTCTACTGTTATTTTTTCATCAAATTCTTCCTTAGGAAATTATCCAACAGTTACGTGATATATTTTTTCTAGAAAATGTATGGCCGTTACCAACTCACTTCACCCCGCGCTTGCTGTATAAGTTGAAGATAGATGACTCGTTCGTTGAGCCACTTCCAGTGATGCCGTGGGAGAAAGTCAAGAAAGACGTGGACGACGAAGGCAGAGAGACAGAGAGAGATGAAGATCAAACTGATACATCGGATAGTGACTAATACTTGTAATTGCTAGTAATGTAATTTTTTAATCTGTGTGTTTAAGTTCTAGTCATTTTTAAAAATATTGGCTTAGTTGTACATGTTTTTATTTATTAATTTTCCAACATAACGATTCAATTTAATTATGAAAGTCTTAACTCAAAGATTATTTTTTTAACAATATCTTTAATCTCTTTACTCAAGAAATTATCAGATTAAAGGGGTTTTATTTAAATAATTGTTTATTATTTACTTGATTTAATCAGACATTTACTTACGCAAACATTTTGTGAACGTAATATTTGTTGCTATGGTTATATTGATCTAACTCACGTAATAATCGCGTACAGTGTCTGGAAACAGTACTTTGTGGCTATGGATAAAAAAGTTTTGTTGAAAAAAGTATCAAAAAAATCAGGTGTTAAGCTTCCACCTATAGAAGATCAAAATGACAATCAAATTAAGACAATTATTGATGTTGACCCAGATTTTTATACTTTAGTTGATGGACGACTGATACGACCTGATACTTCAATTCGTAAGTACAAGAAACATATTAAAGAAGTCGCTTTGAAAAGAACATTTCATGGTTTTCTTGTAGATGAGATATTGAGGATAGATAGAGATATAAAAACTGAAAGAAAAATATACGAAACAGCTTCGAAACATTTTAGTGAATGTCAAGAAAGTTTTAATAAATTTTTAGCAGATGATAACAATAGTACTATTGCTGTGATGAGAAAGTCTGATCATTTGGATAAAGAGTTAGCAAATCAAATAGAAGAACACAAAAAGGCGAATTATGAATTAGCATCTCTCAGATCTAAGTTGCAATACATTGACGAGACGTTGCAAATTTTGATTTCATTTCAAAATTTTTTATACAATGCTGCACCAGTGTTATGGCAAGATAAGAATAAATTGTGTTCAGTTGAGGGTAATTTGGACATTTGCACTTTAGATTCCGATATATTTTGTGAAGTAAAAGTGGATTTAGTGAAAAAAAAATTAAAGGAACTGCCTCCAGCTCTCTTGTATTTCGAAAATCCACGACAAATTCTAAGTATTTTTCAATCATTGGAACAGCAGAACTTGAATTACCTTTTAAAAACAGTAGACCTCCGATCTGAAAAGAACAGATTTTTAAAGTCCGTCACTCTTCTTGAAGGTTTACTTAAAATGGAATTAGATTTCATACAAGAACAGGTAAACTTGTTTATTTCATATATTTCCGAAGTACCACTATCTCCGAACAAGAAAATAATTCTGTTATCCTTGTTTTGAGAAAGATGGCGTATGTTTTCGTTCAGTAGTTTTGATCATAGAAACTCGCGTTAGCCGTTAGTTTTTGTATATATTAATGTTTTTTTGTTACAGATGCATTCCGTTCAAAAAACTATAGAAGAGGATGAAGAGAGAGAAAAAGAACTAAAACAAGGATTCTTTAAGATATTAAATGACAAGATCAAATATTTGGTATGTTCCGAAAGTGTATTACAAATTTCTAATTACGTAGAGTTTGCTTATGAACAATTGATTGGTCCAAACGAGACTCAACTGAGCACTTTGGACCAGGTTCTAGCTTTAGAGCAAGAATATAACTTCGTTATGTTGGAACTGTCTTCCTTCGATTTAAATGATGTAAAATCTATAGAAAAAATAATCTACGAAGACGGAGAGAGAGAAATAAAACAAGCGAAAGAAGCTGCTAAGATATTAAAAGATGTTGATAAGTTGACTAAAAGATTGAAAATATCCTATAACCTTAAGGATAATTTGTAAAAAAACTATTGTTTGTAGTCGTATTTCTCGATAATTTTAAACATTTATTAAAATGCTTTAATAACGATTTGTTATTTTATTGTTAATGCATGTTTTACTTATTTTATACACGGGAGAGGTGTAATAGTTACTAAGGCTACTCCCTTATATGTAAATTTAGTATATAATGTATATTATGGATTAGTTAAAATAAAACAAAGTTGTTGTACATGTTAACTCTTTACTAAAAACTGTGAAGATATCGAATGAGATTTTAAATATCAGACGTTTAATTCTAGACTGACGTTGACACTGGCAGACGTCGCTAAGCATTTGTGGTGTTTTTGATTTTTTCAATACTGTGTTGTGTTTATATTTATTTTTTAGTAGCAATATTTCTATAAATAATGTCGTGTCTACAAAAAGAGCGAAAACCCATGGTTCCTTTGAAAACATTAGATATAATTTTTAGAAGACGGTATGTTCCGAATACCCAGCATTACTTCACCGATCGTCGACATGCGATACGTAAGGATGAAGGGAAGAAAAAAGCTGAACCATTCCGGCTACCGCAGTCTGAGAAACTTTTGTCGTATATCAAATACAGCGACCAACAAGAAAAGAATTACATGAATAAAAGATTAACTCAACCTTTACATATGAAAGACAACTTACGAATGGCAGCTACGAGGGATATTTCTGAAAGACTGTTTATTGAAGAAACCAGTGATAGTGTGAGGGCAGTTGTAGAAATTCATCCGGAGTTTTATTCGGTCATCGAAGGTCGGCCTCTGCGTTGTTTCGATGATATAAAAGTCTATATAAACAATATCCGTAGTTACGCTATGGATCGACAGCAGATTGGCTACCGGCGAGATTTAATTTTAAACATCGATAAAAGTATTATGGAGGAATCCACGGAGCATAACAAAATTGTAGACAACTTGAAACGGCATATACAAAATTTCCAGAAATTTCTTACCGAAGACTACAAGAAAGCATGTCAGAAGGTATCAAAAGCTGAAAAGCTGTACGCAGAGTTGATTGCCAAAAATTCTCAATTTTTAAGCTATGTTTCAACGTTAACTCTTATGAATAATATTATATTCAAACTAGATGCAATTAGAGGTGTTTTAAAAATTTACAGACGGTTTTTGTTGTTTGTTGCCCCACTTTCGTGGCGACAAATTTATGACGAGACATTACGAGACAGAATACGGTCCATACAGTTTGAATCTGGACAATTTGCTACAGATAATGATCTAGTCGATACTTTGGATATTGATAAAATTATTGAATCGGCAAAGAACGAATTTAAGAGTCCTCTACCAGCGCACATGTATTTTAATACGCCTGAACAAATGATGTACTTATTTCGTACGATGGAATTACAGAGCAGGGAATATTTGATCCAGCTATCTAAAACGAATGTACCATTTCGTTTATTGCAAGAACGAATTAAGCAATTAAAACAAGCGACAAAACACGAACTCGATTATTTTCAATTTTATATTGATAGTATTAATTACGAAATAGAGAGAGAAAATCACAATGAACAATTGCTACAAGAAAAATTTTTCCGCATCTTAAACGATACATTTTACGAAAGTGTAGCTAGTCCTGATACTTTGAAGTTAAAAATTTGCATTGAATATGTTTACGAACAAATTTTTGGTAAATGTGAAGAAGGTCATCAAAGTCTACACGACCCAATGAAGATTTTGGAGGTGATGTATGAAGATTATAATTTGCGTTTAGATTCTCTAGATTTTAAAATTGTCAATCAAGCGAGAAATGATTTCTTCTCTCAAGATTTAAAGACAATGATGAATGCTTATAAGGCACAACGAGAACTGAGAGCATTCCGGGAAATGACGAATGCTATGAATAAAGCCTTTTTACCACCTGCTAAATTTTCAAGACCACCATCAGTAAAAAGTGTTTTAATTAAAGCTAAAAAGAAGCAAGCCAGGACACGAAAGTCCATTGTCGAGGAAGATGACGAAGTGAAGACAAAACATAAATTAACAGCGGACGAAAGAGAGGGTTTGATATTTTTTACCGAGTGGTGTGAAGGTTTAGATCCAACACCTTTTCTCAAAGAATATAATGAATTTGTAAGACCTGTTTTTAGAAAAACTCCTAAATTATCAGATTAAATATGTATTTGTATCTTTTTACTTAAAATTTAATACCATATTTACAACAATATTATTTTTCGTTTGAGATCTCGATGGCTTTTCCTCATATTTATTATTTTAATATATTGTACATGTCGTATTGATTTTTAATTATCTTAGAATGGACAAAGATACACATTCTGTTATCATAAATGTAACCAAAGAAAGAAGATTTTCAACGGATGGAAGAAAAGAGAAAACTAAAAGCTTTTCAGCCGTAACTCCAAAAAGAACACATAATCGGATCGTATCAAAACCATCAGAAGCAACCTTGAAAGTATACGATATACCGGAAGATAAGCCGCTTCCTGTTTTTCAACTTAAAAATGATAGCACTTTGCTTTCATATAAGTTTTATTCAAAAATACAAGACTATCATAGACATAGGAAACAGCTCGCAATACCTATCCAGAATAAACATAAAATACTAAGTACTAATTTCCGACAACGATTGCATGTTGATGTTTCATCTGAGAAAATAAAAACCATTATAGACGTCGATGAAGATTTTTATAACTGTATCAACGGGCGTATATTTAAACATGAACAGGGTGCACAGTACAAATCATTGAAGATAAATTTTAATAAGAAATTACATATAAAACAGCAAGTCGGTCATATAAGAGACTGCGTGATGAACATAGAACTCAATCAGAAAAAGGAGTTGGAAATATACAACAATACTTTACGTGAAGTAACAGATCAAGCGAAGTATTTTGATCAATTCATTTCAGAGGATTACAGGAAGTCTATGATTTTGTTGGAACAAGGCGATAAATTACTCGCAAAAGTTGATAAAGTTAAAACAGAGCTAGAGAATTTGGCTGGAGAAACATTTTTTATTACTTCTAAATTGATAGGATTGGATTATAGATACGGTTTGTTACAAAAGTATGGGCGATTTCTATATTATTTATCACCTCCGTCCTGGAGAGCGGGTAACAGAGATTTTGCAAGATCAATAGAAATTGAGGCTAAAGGTTTTGATCTAGGAGTTTCCAGCGACGAAGATACTTTTACGGTGATTTATGAAAAATTGCGTAAAGAATGTTGTAAGTTTGTTAAGCCGGCATTGTATTATACTGAACCTAAACATTTAATGGATGTGTTTGAAAGAATCGAACAACAACAACTAAATCATTTCACCCATGTGTCTCATTTTTCTCCATACACGAAGATGTTGAAGGAAAGTATTAAACGTTTAAAAGATAACGTAGCTGAAGAGAGTGTGCTAGTTTCTGAAACGATAACGTATTTTAAAGATCTTGTAGAGTTTAATGAACAGAGATGTTTATTTTTGGAGGAGAAATTTTTCAAAATTCTACACGGTTTGTTTTATGAAAGTGTTGGAACAAAAGATGTTTTAAAGTTATTCTTTCACTTAGAGTTTTGTTATGAGAAAGTTTATGCAGAGAAACCTATCAATAAAGATATGAAGGCGGTAGCTGAGTCTTTGGAGGCTTTTTACTTAGACTACTCGAAGCGATTAGATGCACTGCGAAGTGAAACTGTCGATCGTGCGATAAATATTTGTGTAGAAACAGAAAGAAGAAAAGCTAGGAATGCTATAAAAGCGGCGAAAGAGTTGAAAATGTTTAATATATTGGAGAGGAACTTGCTTCGAGCGCATGGATTGCCACCAAAAATTACACTTCCCGTTTTACCTTTACAAACTAAACAGGCGAAAAAATCTCCGAAACCACAACGAAACTGATTAGAATATAATTTTTTTACTCCGTGAGGTTTTATGTATTGTATAATGTAAATCAAAAATTAGGGTTTTTTGTTACAATTATTAGAAATTCCTAACTATTTAGTCACTTACTATTTTTAGCATTAGTTAGTTGGACTCACATCTTCCAGTTATTTTTTAGTATTACTAGTTTAATGATATCTTAGCGGTCAGGGTAATGTAATAAAAAAAAACATATTGAAAACAGAATTTATTACAGGGAATCACTTTGAAAACCATTCATGACGATATAAAAACAATATAATAATTTCTTTTTGTTTTCTCCTTGTGTGCTTTTAATTAAACAATAGTTTTATTAACAAAATGTACATAACCTAGATAATAATATAAATGTTTGGTTTCATGGTATTGACAAATAATTACATATGTACAAGGTGAGTAACATAAACTCTGGTAAAAGCTTTTTAATATTACACATACCTTAATATCTATCACTATACCTCTATGAGTAAATAAATAAAACGTTCTCAATAAATAGGAAAAACAAAGGCATAATTGTTGCAAATTTCATCGAAAAAAAATTAAAGCTTTAATGTGATATTTAATAGCCTGTTTAAAATGAAGACTTACGGCATCACATACTTAAAAATTCCATTAAAAATAATTTGGATTATCTTAACCCGGGTCCATCAATTTTTATTAACAATCATACGCATAAGCTAAACACATGGACGTTATGATTTATGTAAATGTTGCACATGCTCTTATAAACGTTGGTTTTCATTGTGGATACATTTAGACAAAGACATATATACATTTTCAGGAAGAAAAAGATTGCAATATGTTTTGATTCAAATGATATAGAATGAAAACCCACAAAGGTTTACAAGGTAAACTATAATAATTATAACAAATAACATTGTCTCTTTTATGTATTTAAATAAATACGTTATTTAGTGAAGAGCAATATGCTATCAAATCCGTTATCAAAACATTTATTTAAAGACATTGGCATCTCTTTCATGAGATAACTATAATTGGAAGGGTGTTTCAGTATTGGAATCAGTACAATCTGTAACTCATGAATGTATCTATACTTGAATACATAAAACAGACATGTTTTAAGATGTTAAAGTTGGGGTAATTCTGAAAATCATCAACTCAAAATCAACACGAAGAAATCTCAATGTAATGAAAATGATATAGCAGCTATAAAACAGGTATGTAAGCGCTACTCGTTCTACACAACTATTACTTTAAACATAAGCGAAACACGTAAATACCATACATATGTTTAAGATGATATCTTGTTAACCTAATGGTCCCACAATCGTGAGCCAAGTAGCAGGTCTGTAATAAATAGATGACTTTAATGCTTAATTACATGCCGTTCAGGAAACTACGTCATTCTTTCAACTCATTTGTAAAGCCAAATGTTTTGTAAAATTTAACTAAAAACCTTTATTGTTTTATCCATCATCTATCTAGCTATTTTCAAAAGAAAATGACTAGTCGTTAATTTTAATTTTTATCAAAATATTAGTTTCCTTCAAAATGTTCAATACAACTTGAGCAACATTATGATGGAATATTTTCATAAGACGTTTTACATCTATAGTAAAAACAATATTTGGTGTTTCATCCGTTGATCACTACCGATATTATGATAAACATCCGTAGCGGGATTTCACGATAGTTCTTAAATTAGCTCGCACTGATATCTGACATCACGTCAACCGTACCTACTGATTGTCTGTGTCTGTCGTTTATCTCACTCGTTTCTTCTGTAACTTCGCCAACTTTCTTCTCTTGAGTATCATTTCGTACAGGGCTTCGAGTCCCTCATGGAGGCCTTCCCCCGTAATGGCGCACGCGGGCTGCACGTGCCAGGCGTGAGCGTCTCGCGAACCATGCGGAGAAGAAACTAATTCGTGCAGACCTAAAAGTTTTTCCAGTTCCCTGGGTTCTTTCGCCCCCGGCAAGTCCTGTTTATTCGCGAGGACGAGTATCGGAACGCCGGCGTTATCTGGTGATTTCGCAGTTCGTATGAGTTCCATTTTCGCCTCTTCCATTCTTTCTACATCAACCGAGTCCAGTACAAATATAATGCCGTCTGTGCATCGCGTGTACGATTTCCAGAGCGGCCTGAGTTTTTCTTGTCCACCGACGTCCCACACGAGAAAATTGACACCTTTCGATTTGCCTATCGTTCCTTTCACTTTTTCACAATTGAAACCGATGGTGGGGACGGTGTTGAGGTATTGGTCGAACTTGAGGCGGTAGAGCGCGGTGGTCTTGCCGGCGGAGTCGAGGCCGAGCATGACGACGTGCAGCGTGCCCTGCGCGGAGGGCAGTGCGTCGAGCAGGCTCGAGTTTTTGCCCATGTTTGCACCCATGCTGTGTTGCCGCGGCGGCTATCTGACGCTCTCGTCTAATACCAGCATCACGAGCATTACACCAACACCTGGAAACACAAACAACAATCGATTAGAAGATTAAATGAAGTAATCTATATTAACATTTTTTCAATGTAGAAAATTAGACAATGAAACTTAGTTTGTCGGTATAATTGGATGTTTTGTGCATTGCTCAGACGCTATAATGTATGTAAGTTGAATGAAAAGTATCCGCTAGACAAAAGCGGGGTGAGGCTCGGCGCTCAGACGAGACAAGACGTCGCCTGCATTTATAATTTCCCACCTGTATACTCATGTCAATGTTTTGCATCACTACGTAACTTTAATCCAAAGTTTATCTCGTTTTTTACTCTAAACAACTGGAGAATTTTGTGTTATACATTTTATACTGGTATGGGTTGTGAGATAACCACAGCTGGTATAAAAAACGTTTTCGATGGCTTGATTACTTTTGTTATATAAAAATTGATATAATAGTGGTTTGTTGTAGTGCAATCGAGATGCAGGTCGGTAACGTTCGGTTAAAACCGAGAGCAGTGCGCTTGTTATTTTTGTCATTACAGGACATTGACCTCGGCCGACTGATGTTTCATTTGTATCACGATTCCTTCTGATTAATGTTTCGGGAATTTTATTACGTTGAATATCAGTTTTAATACAACGTAGAACGAGTATTGGATATTTATAATGCTTTCTACAAATGGTATGTTAATAACAAACTTTCAAATTTAAGGTTTTGACTATACTAATGACAAATTTTAATCCAATCTATTTACGGTAAAACAAACTCAGTCGTTCGCACATTTTTATATCATGAAATTGCTAACTATAAAGAAATAACAAATGTTCATTTATTTAAATGATTCTAAGTGTATTCGTTTAGATTAAATGACTTTTAATTTAAATTTATAAAGAAGGATGCGGGCCTGTACATTAGTTGTGCAGCAAAAAGTTGACGTTTCGATAATCATATTTCATACTAATATTATAAATGTGAAAGTTTAGACGGATGTTTGTTAGAGTTTGTAGCCTAAACGGCTGAAAGGATCTGGATGTAATTTGACATAAATGTAGAATATTGTCTGGAAGAACACATAGCCTACTAGCTTTTTTTTTATTTCCATGCGGACAAAGTCGCGGTCAAAAGCTAGTATTTTTATATACTTGGATACAGATCTTTGTCATATATTTTAAACGAATAAGCGTAAGATAAAATAAAACAATCCTAGGTGGCAATTGTACAAAGTCTTTTGGTATTGTAATGTGTTTTTTTCTTTATTTATTGTTATTAATTATCGTTACAGTGAAGTCATGGTCCATCAAAAGCGACCGCGAGTTACAGCCACACCCTTAAGAGGGTCGGCGCAAGAGAAAGCAAGGAAGACGAAAACATTGGGGCCCTTTACTTTCACATTATTTCAACACGACTTCTTAACTCTCATTATTTTGATAACGATTTTACACGTTTAAGAGAATTTTTTGACTTAGCATTTTAATTAAATTTTCCACACAAATTTACACAGCAATATTGACTATTATACTAATATTGATTACATACTAAAGTGTATAGAATTAGAAGTATTTAAATTTAATAAAATCATTTCAAGTAGAGCACAAATGAAAACCGTAATAAATTTCCGGTCGACGTGTGTTCTGTTATCGATTATAGATAGTTAATAGATCGCTTAGTCCAGTTATGTGCGAGTGTGCCGCTAGTCAGCCTGGTATTCGACTGGCAAGTGCAGCCGACATATCGGCTAGTTGTACATCAATCGGACAAGCCCCACTTGGCTATAACCTGGTACGCGGTTTCCGTTGAGAATTGTAAATCTATCAATACAATCTGTCTGTAATTTTAAATGATTCTTATATAGGAAAACAAATCACAAAGTTTACTTTCAATAAGGTCTAAAAGAAAGTAGTTGATAGTTATCACATTAAAAGATTATTAGTAAAATCTTGAATATCTATTTTAGGTTTAAACTATTGTTAGAGGTATTGATCGCAAAAAAAGTAACGAGAAACGATATATGAATAAAACATTATAAAAGAATAGACATTTAAAAAACGTTTGTGTTGCCAAAAAGAGTTACGAGGCGCGCCAAGGCTCTCTATAATTGACGCGATGCATTTGCAAACGCAATAGACAACGGTAAACTAAAATAGATGCAAGTGCCGAATGTACCGTACTAATGTAGCTCGAACAGGTGCTTGCGAATTTAGAGTTGTGATAACGGCATATCTGTAAATGACTAACATACCTGGATTCACAAATATTATAGTGAAGAATTATATATTTACTTTTACATGACGCAATGATTACACTTAATCGAAATAGAATGCAGATATGCGTTGCGTTAAATCTTTCGTTTCGTATTGATTTAACTTGTTTGTTTGTAAATAGGTTTTAACAAATAAGAGCCCAAGTAGCATAGGCCGTTCTTAAAATTATAGTTAAGCAATATTGTACTCACAGCAAAGATCGATGTTACCCCCAAACGTAAAGAACACACTTCAGTCTTCTGAATACCTGAAACAAACAGAACACTAAAATTAATATTGTAGAACTAAAATAACTGTAAAGATAAAAGACATCGCAGACATTTTAAATTAAATTATATATAATAGTCAACCAAAACAAACCACTGTTTGTTGACAAGTGACATTGATTATAATTTTGACAATGATAATATTTTTTTTATTAATTATATGTCATATTCTTTACTGATGAATAAAAAAGTTATCTAAATCAATAAATGGGCAAGACTGTAAGTAAAATAATATAGTAAACAAAATTGATTCTTTGTTACATCATTCTATCTCATCTCATTTCTAATGGAATCACATTTAAAAAGAAGAATGGAACACTAGCCAATATTAAAGATTCAAAAGAATGTTAAGTAAACGCATTGACGTTTGAATAGGATCTGTGCGGATGATGGCGGTGTGCAATTTCCGCCGCTTCCGCGCCCCGCTTCTAATGAACACGGACAAAACCACCTTATTCCTTAATGGGCCTGGCTAAAGGAAGCTTGCTTTATTTTTTGTATACTGATAATGGTTTAAATTCTAGAGAATTGTAAACACGGTCCAATGTTTAGAAAGCCGTGAGGCCAATACTAGCGAGTGACCTTTTAACTTTTAAGACGATAAAATTAAACGTCCTTAGCCCTGTGCCTCTTCGTAGTAAATGGGTATTATTGATTTTAACAGATAAGCTACGGTGATCTTTTTCAAGCAAACATTAATTAGCCGTTTATATATTTGCTTTAACTGTGTACATTGCGTTCAATTTAAGATGAAAACGCGTTTTGTTTAAAGAACTATACACACAAATGCTTTGATGAGCATAAATGCTGTCTTTAATTGCTTTCTAGGCCTTGAAAGTTCTTGTTTTTGCGTGAATTGAAATAAGCAAACAGGTTCGTAGACGCAGCTAGTTTATTTTGAGGTCCGCATAAAAGCGTCTTAAATAACTTCAGTCCGCGGTGACCGTAACTCAACGTCTAGAGTAGTTTGTACTATGAATAGCATTGATGTTATACTTTTTTTAAATTTACATTTTTAACGGCATTCAACGATTGCGTTTTTACTTCTTTTTTGGTTTGAACGATGTTGACAAAACATTGAACATCTAATTTAAATGTATCCGACCTCCGTCTATTTCATATTTAAAAGCGATGTTTTAACTCGATGATTAGTAACCTAATAATTGCATGATCATTGGTCGAGTACCATTGAATTTAAAAGTGATTGCAATACGTGAAAGCCGACTAGCGTAACTAATATATCTGTGAAGTCGGAAAGTGAGAATCGACGTTTTCCTATAACCACTAAACACGTAACGTGGCGAACGGAGAAACTTTTCTGCGGCTAAACTATATTTTATGACTCTCCTGTTGTTCAATAGTATATTGTTAAGAGAAATACCGCATTAAGGTAAATGCTTTATTTTCTTGCGAAAATTTTGTGAAATACAATAATTCTAATGACATTTCACTACTTTGTGGTAGTGAAGTATTTGTCGATAGTTAATGTTTTGTCGTATTTCAAGTCTCTATCACTTGAAATATAAATAAAAAAGTTATTATGGATTCCCTTCCAATACACATGTTATTATTTTTTAGAAGTTCCTCTCTCCCTGAAAGTCGTGAGAATGTAATAATTTATTTAATACAAACAGTTTTTGTTTGATCATCGTCGGGCTGTTTGCGAAACATCTTGCGTTAATGCGCCCGGGGTCGTTCGTAGTTCACATGACACCTGTCAAAGCTGCATCCTGTCAAATAACAGATGTCCTGGGAACGCACAGATAAATCACACAGGCATATGACAAGCTATGACTTTCAATGAATATTTCTCTACGTGGTGTATCGGAAATGTTGAATAGTGACTATGAATTTTGGATATTTAGCCTTGAAGTCGACCTAGATAGAACGTTACCGTACTCGTAACTATATCACAGTCATGAGAGACATCATTGAAGTTTTTAATGCATATTTTTAACTGTGTACGGATAAAAAAAAGTAGTCCGTAGTACAGAAGTATTTATAGGTTATAAAATCGGAAGTGGTCCGGCCCTGAGCTCTGCACTAACCGCAGAATTGCCAGACATCGATACCATGATACCGCCATACCTCATGCACATACAGACATACTTCCATATTACATGTTTGTATATTGCGGGTACGCTAGTACTGACTTACATCGCTTGAACATTACCGTATCCTGGTCAATTCTCAACATAGTTGAGCCAATATTACGAAGATGGCGAATTTGTGACGTGATGGTTCTTGATCAGGAATCTACTTATATCTTATCCTAAAAGACTATAATTTTCTGTTATAGAGACAAACTGTGTTTTTGTGCAATTACAACCCAGAGAAATGTAAACTGAGGTATAAAATATTTCTGTATTTCTCTTGTCTGTTCTAAGCTAACCATCAGCCATATTTTCTGTTCTTTGCCTATCCCTTTGTTACTAATAAAGTTCTTACAAAAATCTCTTAATTCGCAGTTTAAGCTCTGTTAGTTAGGCAAACATTCATATACCGAAAAAACCTAATTCATATTGAGGCCACGTATTCAAAACTGAATAACTATAACGGAGACATTTAAATAACATGTTGGACCGTAATGAGCGTGTAGCGGTTAACGGTTAGCATTTCATTTTCCGCTAACATGTAAAGTAAGCGTGAAAAATGTATAAAAATTCGCTAAGCGAACGTATATGTCCGTGATTCTAGTCTCTCTTAGCGACTAATGAACGATTGAGTGCGCTATTACGTTCCTCTTTTACGTTCTTAAGTCAAAAACATTAATGTATCGTGGAATTTTGGTTGGATGTTGATTGTGAGCTCATAGTTATGGCGTAAATTACGATTACAGCATACGTCGCGGTTCACGTACGAATGTAACGCCTTTGTGCAATTGTGTGAAACTATAGAAACTTGCTAATTACACTAAATCCTACTCACATTATGTAGTAACATTGGTAAAGTATTAAACACAATTAAATACAGATTTGTTAAATGGTTTTTAAGGTGAAGCCTTAGTATGGGGAAGTATATTACGGGACTGCTTAAAAAGACAATTAAGGACTGTGAAGCAGTTGTTTAGGGATCGATTATATAGACTTCATGCATCTTGTTATTAAGTTTAACTTTCATCTTCTTCGAGGTTGATTTTGTTTTAAGTAGTGCTAAAACGATTAAGGTAAACTAACCAAAGATTTCGTTTAAATTGCTAAACAGGATTAAATAACGTTTAAACTCTCGTTAAAATTAAATTGTAATTAGTTTAGAGGAAGGAAGCATTTTGTATCGTTTACTGAGGTGTTTCAACGTATTGTATGGTAATGTGTATTCAGCTTTATGGTTACAAAAAGCGTGGGATAAATACAATACCGCGGCATGAGTTATTACGATCTTTGTGCTTTATAACGAACAAACAATTTTTGTATCTATTTCGCAAATGTAATAATTATGAAATAACGCGAATAGTTTCAAATTTTATAAAATAAAAATGTCGGAGTGACGAGCGGTTTGTAAAATTTAATTATGGGCGTGCGTATGTCGGAGATAATGAAATAACAATCGCGTATCTTTAGAAACACTATCCTTAGTTGACCACCATCTTAATTGATAACTTCACAACACACTCTATTCGAATTGCAAACATTTACAGAGATTAATCAATTGATTTTATAATAACAAAACGCAACATTCCACCATTTAATAACAACTGTCATCTGTCAATCGATCGTCGTCTTGACATCTATCATGCACGATGCACATTCAGCCAGTACTCAAAATTATTAGTTGCCAGTAACTTTAATCGTTCAAAAATTAACAATAATTGAGCCCCTATAATAATTTTTTAAGTAGCAAATTTTCGCAGTTTGCACAAATACGAGTAGAACAGTTTATTTCGAAGGGACATTCAAATAGTGCAACTGTCTGTGTAATCGTGACGTCACAGCTAGGTTAATGTTTATTTTGATCACTATGAATTATTAATTTACGAACAATACAGTTTTAATTAGAAATAGTTATTACGGTGTTACATTCTCGACAAGATGTTTTGAATAAAAAACGGTTGTATTTAAAAGCGTTTCAAAGTTTTCTTTTGAAATGAAAAGGTCTTTATAAAACAGTTTACAGGCGAGTGTGCCGCTAGTTACCGGGGCCCAGCTTCACAGCACAAAGGATAATGATGCCTTGTGAGGGAAAGCTGCCAGATACTGTTCTCGCTTCTCTATACATTTAGTTTCAATCTCTTTTTATTTTAATTTTAACTTGAATTTAATTAATAATTTGATATTATAATATTTTGGACTAGTTATCGCATGCGATTCCGTCCGCGTGGAATTAAACGTAACAAAAATAAGTAGCCAATATGTTCTTACAGACGCTTATCTACGCCAAGCTCTAACAATCATCCATCTATCTTCGCATTTATAATTTCAGTAAGAAGTGAGATTGGAGTCGATTATTTTAGACTGATAAGATTATCAATAGATATCAAGTAAATATATATTTGGTTCAAATTTAACCGATCTAAAGACAGCAATTGAAAAACAGGATCTTTTTTTAGAGGCGATCAAATGGTTTTTGTATTTCGTTTCATGCAACATTATAAAAATAACTTTGGGATCGATCTTAAGGATCGATTATTGGTTTCGACCGTTAGTTGTTATGAAAGTCATCATAAGAAGCATTAGTTAGTATTCTTGTGTGTCCATTGAACTCATTTCGCGGGCGTTGCGTTAGGCGTGAGTTCCACTGCGTTGTGGTATTTCGTGACTAATGTACACATAATGGCTTTTTGTGAACATCTACGGTTATCTTGAACTTCGATGTAATGAAGGTTATTTAGTGAGGCAAATGCACGTAACGTTTTACGTCGTGTAAATTGTGGGAATGTTAGATGGTTCTGATGAAAACTATGATGCTTCAACATTTGGTTAGATTTTTCAATATTATTATTTATGCAGTTACACTACTCAGGCGCGTTATTAATTAACATTTG